CAGAGCGGCGGTAGCTGCGCTCGGTGCGGTACCGGCCTCCTGCCCGCGCTCTGCTGGGGGGTGGCGGGTCCGTGGCGGCCCCCTGACGGCCGGTGCGCCCTACTTCGTGTGTCTGCGCAGGGCGTTGGTGGCCCCCGGCAGGGCACCGCGCCGGGAAAGGCAGAGTGGGCGTGCTGGGGGTAGAAATGCGCTGTCTTTCCTTCAGGTCAGTTCTACCAGCATGCCACGACGGAGGCGTCCCAAGCCACCTTAGCCAGCGTCTCTCCTGTTTTTGCAGTGGTAAGTACGTGCAGGCGTTCCCACCAGCCAGCGCGGGCTGTGTAAGGTGATGCTGCTCCTTGTTTGTTTTTTCTTAAAACATCATAAGAGCAGACAGATTTGTCTCTCAGAGAACATCCTGCGTTCCACATGGTCGGTTTAAGGTATCCTGACTTGAGGACCAGTGACGGTATACCGCGTCCATCAAGATGTTTTTCTAAGATCCGGCATCTGCTGGAAGTTCTTTTTAAGCGTGAAGGCGGGTCAACTCGTAGAAGTGCTGCAGTCAGCAAGTTTCTTGCTAAGCTTGCCAAGGCTTGCTAATGACGTCTAGAAATACTGTTTCTGTGTCCTGGTAGCTGCAGTTCTATGCAAACATAGAATCTGGGGAAAAAGAAGCTCTCTATTTTTTTAAAAAATGAGTCTGAAAGCCATTTGCAGACTGCTTGATTGACGTTATTAGAGCATATGAGGGAAGGTGAGGCCCCCTCGTTGGGAACCAAAGCAGTCATTCTGCAACAAGGTGCGCGCAGCTAAGACCTTGGAGCTCTACTGGAATGTATGTTTAGGTATGTTTAATTCACAGACAGTTTTTGAAACCAGTAATATGGAATAAAGCTACGTGGTTTATAAGCAAAACAGCAGACTTTCTGATTAAGGCAGACATTGCAGTTTTTCCAATAAAATAATTTTACTAGGAAATACAAGTGTTAAATGAATAATCTGAATGACAGGTGCTAAGACAAGAAGGATTTAGATGCAGGTTACTGGCTGAATAGCATGTCAGTGCGATACTTGACAGAGACACAAGGCTTAACTACCCAATTTGTGGTACTCTCTTTAAATTTTATTTGTAAATTTTTCAGATTGCTCCAGAGGAAATAGTAAAATTTGTAATCCAAAGTGTAAGATGCCCTGCTGATCTCTTCTCCCTGGGAACCAGTGATAGGATGTGTGGGAATGGCTCAGAGCTGCACCAGGGGAGGTTTAGACTGGTCATTGGGAAGCATTTCTTTACTGAGAGGGTGCTTAAACCCTGCAACAAGCTTCCTAGAGAGGTGCTCGATGCCCCGTGCCAGTCAGCATTGAAGAGGCATTTGGACAACACCCTTAATACCATGCTTTTAACTTTTAGTCAGCCTTGAAGTGATCAGGCAGTTGGAATTGATGATCATGGTAGGTCCCTTCCAACTGAAATAGTCTGGTCTGTTCTTTTATATTCTGTCTGATCCTCTATAAATCAGCTCCTTCCCAAGGTTTATGTGGGAACATGGTTTTGATTTGGTGTGTATACAAACACAGTGAAACATGGCAATTTGGTGCAGTGTTTTTCTTAACTGGGATGAACTGTGAAGAGAGGGCATAAAAAATTGCTTTCTCTTCATAGTGTGTTTTCCATTTGACCTCTAGGCAAGTGCAAACAATTATAGAAATTGATTTATTGTTTTATAATAACTCTGAAAAAAATTTTTGTTTTTTCACTCCTTTAGATGAAGTTTGACAAGGAGGGAAATAAAACCTATTTTGGTGAGTTTTCATTGTAGTTTCATTTGTTTGGGTTTTGTCTTTCATTCCTTGTCCAGTACAGAAAAGACCAACTGGGAATCTACATGGGGTAAAAAAATATATTTGGGATACTTCACTGTGTTTATTTGGGATGTTGCAACGTTTCCTATGTTTTGTTGCCTTCTGTTGATCTTCATAGCATCTTTATTGTTAAAATTACATAATATTTTTAAAGTAGTGTTTGAAAATCATATATTCCATCTCTCACGTGAAGGTCATTTTTACTTTGTCTTTCCCTTTTTTGACCAGCATGCTACTTTTCCTGCCTTGTATTTCCTTTCCTGTAGGATTACATATGCTTTCTCAAATGAGTCACTTTGTTTCTGACATGAAATTAATTGTCATGGCCAACTTTTTCACTTATATCTAGAATTTTTCCCTTTCAACTCAAGATCAAGTTCCTCAATGTCAAGTTAAAAAAAAATTACATTGAGGAATCAATTGAAGGCAAACTGATTTAAAGATAGAACAGCTTTTTTGTTGTTGTTCTGCAGGACTTGTACTAAAACGTAATTTCAGAACATACATGCTTGTACCCTAAATGTCTTCATCTAAAAATATTTTTGTGATAGAAAAGAAGAAAACCGAATTGTACCAGGAATTGGGTCTTCAAGCTCGAGATCTCAGATTTCAACACCTAATGAGCATTGCAACTAGGAACAACAGGATCATTGTGAGAATGGAGGTAATGGTTTCTCTATAGCTGAGTGTGAACTTGAACCATGTCTTATCCTTGCACTTTCATTTTCCTTCATTGGTTCCTTTACTACCAGCTTTCTGTGACGTGCAGTCCAGCAGTAAATGTGTCTTTGGAGCTCTGCCTAGCAACCAGAGGCACGGGTTTACCAACAATAGATATTAATGACCACTTTTCTAGTTGAGCACAGGAGAAACATTATTAACATTGTCACAGAAATAAAAGCTCACAAGGAACCTCTTAGTCCTAGCACTTCTAGCACAGTGCTGTGTCTTAACCACAGGGAATCCACTAGTTTGTGGTTAGTGTGAGGTTGTTATTTTCCTGCCTGAAAAGACATTTGAAGAGTGGCTTTTTAAAAGTGTAAATTACCAAATGCACTAGAGTTATGAGAAATCTTCAGAGAGTTTTTTTCAGACTCCTACATGTACTGTCTGTTTCAGTTCTTGAAGGCCGTCATAACCCCTGAGTTTCTTCTGATACTAGATTATCGTAACTTAAATCTGGAACACTGGCTCTTCAATGAACTAGCATCTCAGCTGGCTGGGGAAGGTCAGCTAGTCACATATTCCCTGCCCTTTGAATTCCGAGCCATAGAAGCAATCCTGCAGTACCGGGTGAGCCATCTCATTTTTATTTCAATTGTTTTGGAAGTTGTTGCTTCATAGAAAGGACAATATGGTTTTATTCGTGTGTTAATACTTATACATACGCATTTGTATATGTATTCTGCACTCCCTGTAAGAGCTCTCTTTTGGTTTTGCCTTTTGTTGCTTTAGTTTTCATGGTTTCATGTGTACATGTGTTTCCATTCCCTTCCCAAGAAAGTGCTAATTGGATGCAATGGCTTCACCATCATTTGGACAATTAAAAACCAAGTCAGAGTACCTTTCTAGGGACATGCTGTAGCTGGAATGGAAGTCACACAAAAGTGCTGAGGTTTTTGGTCTCTTGGGCAGGAGTCAGATAATGATTACTAGCTATTCTTAAAAATCTGTGCTTGCTAATGCTAATAACAACATTTCTAGACAAATAGTGTTTTAGCTTTATCAGCTTTATTGGTGTGGTTGTCACTGGGTTTCAGTTCAGTGCAAGTCACTTTTATAAAATGCTGTATTTCGCACTGGCTTTATCTTGTAAGTGCTATCCCTGTAGCAAGTATTTCCTGGTCGCTGGAAAGCAGATTGTGTAAACTGCCTATTACTGTGAATTCTGTGTTCAGAGACAGGAGCCCAAGTCATTCTAAAGGGATTGCTTTAATTCTTATGAAGGATCATGTTGTTATCTAGATCAGCAAACTGCAGGGGAGACTTAACACTTTGCAGCCTCAGATCCTTGAGACACTGGAAGCTCTAGTGGACCCCAAGCTTTTGTCTGTGGATAGGAGTAAACTACACATTCTCCTGCAAAATGGCAAGAGGTAAATAAAGAGTAAGCCGTGAAGAGACTAGAAGATGACCGTAGAACATTATGTGCAATTAAATGTTAGAAAAATGGTATCTAATACTAATTTCCTAGATTACTGTAATGCTGGGTTGTGCATCTTATTTGTAAATGTAAAATCGGTATATGAAATAACTAGTGATACGGGAAAAAACAGAAAAAAGGAAACCTGTTCTGAGTTTTCAGAAATACAGTTGAGCTTCTTAAATAGCATCTGCCAGAAGAAAATAATGCCTAAGAGAACAAAATAACATCATGGAAGTGTTCCCTGTAATGTAAAACAAGATTAGCCTTCGGATCTGTGCTTTAAGGTTACAAGTACTAATAACCCTGGTACCTTCATGAATTAGCCTCTAATATGACGTTGCAAATAGGCACTCACTATGCGCTCACAGAGTGATTTTTTTTTTTTTTTCTGACATACAAATATATCCAGAAAACATCTGAATCCCTTTCAGTGTGTGTCTGTAGTTTGCTGGTCCCCAGACAGATCACTGCCACTACTAAGTGTGTGGCCTGTGGAGAATTTTTTGAAGGAGCTCTTAGAACCCTGTGACAAGTCTTTCCTGGCCACTCCATCTGGCGAGGGTGCTGGCTGGCAAACTCATTTAGAGATTACCTTTGTGCACTGGTGCCAGTAGGGATTATTTGACCTTTTGCCTGTTCTTTCTTCAGCTTGTCAGAACTGGAAACAGATCTTAAAGTTTTCAAAGAAACAATTCTGGAGATTTTAGATGAAGAAGAATTAATAGAAGAGCTCTGTCTATCTAAATGGACGGATCCACAAGTATTGTATGTATATTTTGAAACCACATACTTTTTTAACAGTGTGTTTTGTTTAGGGAAAGCTTGAACACTAAATTGGGTGTTCCCTGCCAAAAAGCAGAAAGCAAAAGACTTTCTGATTTTTTTTAAAGCCCTAATGCTTGCCTCTTCAGAAATCATTGTATTTGCCATTATGGAGAAGGATGCCCATTAGCACTAGTCATATTACACAGTTTCAGATATTTCTGGGTGTAACAGGTCATCTCATTTAGTATGTAATGGAATGGGAGCTAGATGGCAGGAGGAGAAAAAGCAAATGTTAGTTTTCAATACAAATTAACACTTTATTGGAGAATTCTCTTCAGTTTCACCAAAAAAAACTGAAGAGGCGAGTTTTAAAGCTTGTCTTGGATAGATCAGACACCACACTTCCTTTGTTAGGAGTGTTCTGAACACCTTGCTTCTAGTTTTTTGCTTGTCAGCAGAACATGAAGGAGAGACACCCTGGAGCAATCAAGTGCACTGGAGAGCAGCATTTCAGGAAAAATCGAAATGCAGAAATAGTCCTATTGCACTCTCAGATTCTGGTGAAAAATGGTACGCAGGAGCAGCATCACTGGTTGCTGTAGCAAAAAAAAAAAAAAAAAAAAAAAAAAAAAAAAAAAAAAAGCAGAAAGATAATATGTATCAGATTCTGATATGTTTTGGGCTGAATTGCATTTAAATCTTGTTCATACAGAGATGTTTTATGTTTAAACAGATAATAAACTACTTTTCAGGGTCCTTTGTGAAGTTGCTGAGTAATACTTTTGTGTAACCACATTGTGTATGGATATTAATACTGTTCATGCACTAGCAGGGGTTTCAAATCAGGAGATAGTTTCTTGCCCTGCAGAGCTTAGCCTAATGCGTGGCAGAAACTCAGTATTCCAGAAGTGGGACCCAGTTTGCATTTCTTTTGCTTCCGGTGGAGCAGTATTGGCAGGGCTCTGAATTCCAGGCTGTTCCTGAGCCAGCAGCTGGTCTTCATCCTGGTTTTGCCTCCAGCTTTCCTTTGGAATTAATACATGCTGCTGGCAAATCTCTTCTTGCCTCATGGTAGACAATGTGTAGGGAACGTCTGGGAAAGATACCAAGGTCACCTTACACTCTCACGTTGGGAGAAACCTGAAGTCAGACACCACTGCACAAGGGGAGGAGAGGCTGTGGGAAGTTGTGTAAAGTGTGGGAGCTGTGCTACAGGGTGCCGTGAAGTGGCCCGTGCATGAGGCGCACCGGGAAGCACTAAGCCACAACAGCACGTTTGCAGGCAGGCTGGCAGTGTGAGCACAGCTCTTTTGACTCTGGGATTGATGCAAGTGATGTGTGGTATTTGGTGGCCTCAGAAGCCTGAGGAGGTGTGGAGGAGCCCAGTCAGGCAGAGAGGTGCCATCTGAGATCCTTTGGAGCAGGAATGCTGAGCTGAGCCCAGAAAAACAAGACAAGGCAGACAACATATTTTTGTGTGAAGGTGTGGCAGACTGTCAAAGACTCACGGGACAGATGGAGGCTAGTTAATGGAAACAAATCAGGTGGCGGTTATTTTCAGGTCTGTGTGCCTGTTGTTTCCCTTTGTATGTCCACAGAGGAGCTGATGTAAAGTACTCATCACATAAGACCTTGAGCTGAATCCGTAATACAGCAGATAGCGCTCCAAGGCTTTCAAGTCTGAAACTCACCTGCATGCAGTAAAAACCTCAAGGTCTGAAGAGCTTTCAAAATCAGCCTAGTTAACTCAAAGGTTTCTGCTCCATCAGAGAGAAACTAGGGGCTCTATTAAAGGTCCTCAGGGAGCTTACGTGGGTTGATTCTTAAGATGTATCACTTACTTTCTCAGTAAATCATTTCAGAGAGGTTCTTTTAACAGTCAGCAATACCAGAAGGAGATTCTTTAAAAAGTTTAGTCTCTCTAGAGAAATGAGGTTACACCACAAAAAAAAAACCCTCTTCCTGGCTTTGCTGCTAGTTTCCAAGCTCCTGTGGATCTCAGGTGCCTCAGCTTTCATCTACGCAGTGAACAGTTCAGTACACTGCCAGAAACATACATACCTGTTGCAGAGAAGGCTGCTGTGCCAGCAGTCGGACACTGAAGTAAGATGAAAATCTCTCAGACTTTGCTTTGGAGAGCGGTGTCTTCCATTTGATGCTTGCTCTTTGGCTGCTTCATGTGTCCAGAAAATTTTGCAGTGATGACTGTGTATAGCTGAAACACCTTACAACTATATTATTCTAATATACACCTAAAACATCTCTCTCACCGTGTAACTGTTTGTGTGTTGGACTTTTGGTCACGTTTTATTCTTGGGATTTTTTGACTGCACTTTTACCAGCTTCCACCACTTGAGGGCACCAAGAAATGAAGCATCTCCTTTCAAAATTGTCAGCATTTTATAATAACAATATAAACATTTACAGTAATACAAACTTTGTAGATAATATAAAATTTATTTAATTTTATAACTTTTAGTACCTGAAAAAGTAAGATTTGTGGTGTTGTGCATGCCTTGAGCACATCATATGCTAACTGCTCTACTCGAAATAACTGTCTGCCCATGCTGATCAGCTGATAGATGTAAAAATCTGCATTTGTTTTAAGCTGTTGGTATTGATGGAAGTTCCTCACTGAAAAAATTGGATTTTTGAGATCTAGTGTCTAACAGCACTCTTGTTGGCCGATCCCCACAATTCTTAATGTGCCTTGTCTTAACACATCAATAATAATACCCTTCTATACTACATGTAGCTAACCAGAAAACTATAAATTGTTGCTCACAGTGAGGAGAGTACATCTGGGATTGACCATGCAGAGGAAATGGAGTTGCTGCTGGAGAACTATTACAGACAAGCAGAAGATCTTGCAAATGAAGCTCGTGAACTCAGAGTACTGATTGACGACTCTGAAAGCATAATCTTTATCAACCTGGACAGGTTAGCTACCCTATCTGTTGGACTGCCAAAAGCTGAGCAGAATTCAATGTTATCTAGTCTTTCTCAAGTCTGTCTATAAGGAAAGGTGGGGAATTCCATCTTTGTGAGGGTTTGAATGGACTTGCAGTCACAGCACTAGAAGCTGCATCACACTTTTCTTAGCAGTGAACTGGATAAAGCAAAGCAACAAGACACCCTAATTAGTATGTGTAAAAACCTGTCTAGCCAGGCATCAGTTTTCCCTAGCAGGAGAAACCAAGCTTCTCCTAAATCCTTCTGGGGATCTGTTCACCAAAGGAAATGTCTGCAAATTTAGGGGCAAAATAAAATTCTAATCAGGAAAGTTTACTCAGTTCAGCAAAACTGAATTATTTAAGAGTCTGGCTAGGCTACTCAGGTGTTCAGTTGCATTATCACTCTATGGAGTGATACAAGAGTGAATAACTTTAGAGCAAGTTTTTTCTCTCTCTTTGCTACAGTTTTCACTAGTAGCCAGCTTTCTTACTGAAAAATAATTGTAGCTTGCATTTGCAAGCACATGCCACTGTCTTTGAGGTCAGTGTTTAATATTCTTTCTCCTCTTTACTGGGGAGTTATCTGTAGAAGCAATTGGTGGATGCTGCATCAGGAAACCACAGAAATCCTTTTGGGGGAGACTTGAATATGGAATTCTCCAAAACAGGCTCAAGTTCATAGTCTGCAGTATTTATCAACTCTACTTCTTTGTAAGTATTCATTTGCAAGGTAACAGTAAATTTTTGTTTCTTGTGAATATGGACATTTAAATTCCAGTCAGTGGTAAGAGAACTCAAATTTTCCTGAAAATTTACTGTTACTCTGTGTATATACACCTCTAAGAAGTAAGCAATACTGGAAAGTCTGCTGATGATTAAGCAGAACCTGCTTCCTTAGAGGTATCCTGATGCAGCAATTTCAAAACGATAGCCACTTTATACTGTTGTTTCATGAGCTTTGTCACTGGGTTGCGTAATTCCAGCATGACTTCCTCTCTTCCACTATTTGGTTTTAGTGCATGCTGTATGGAATTTGAAAATTTAGGCAGCAAATCCATTTTTTGGGTTCCCCTTACAGATATTTCTCCCTCCTTTAGCCACCGTAACGTGATGATGAGACTGAACTTGCAGCTGACTATGGGGACTTTCTCTCTGTCTCTCTTTGGACTCATAGGAGTTGCATTTGGTATGAACCTGGAGTCATCTCTTGAAGAGGTAACGAATAAGTGCTGCTTTTATCAGTGACATAAAACATGGGCCCTACTCTTACAGTGCATTTTATATTCAGTACAACTTCACTCTTTCCATAGGTAAAGCTCCAGATTTATATTAGTGTGTAAACATAGTCCAGTGATTCCCATGTTCATGCAGTCACTTTTTTGTAAGCAAATTACTGTCTGGCTAACTGCACAGTGTTGCAGCCTTTTTTTTTTCTGTGTAATGTCCATGTAAAATAAACCGGAAGACAGATTTATGGTTGTATAAGGACTGACTATAAGGCAGTGTTAAGGTTTCTTTAATGATCATCTATTCTTCTGAAAAGACCAGCTTTGTCTTCCAGATACAAGGGTACCTGGTAAGCAGTCAGGGTGTTTCCAGCACACCAGAGGAAGTACTCTACTGTCAATTACATGTTTATACCTAGACTGGGCAGGTACAGACTGGGGCATACAAATTTACATGCTCTCTTTAAAACAAACACACACAAAAATGAAACAAAGCAAAGACTTCTTCCTTTCCAAACTCATTAAATAGAAGGGTTGAATTTCCAGACTTCCTGATGAAGGAAGGAAAACTCTGTGGGACAGTAACAGAATACACTAGGGTGATTCCTAAATAAAATGCTTTGCTATGAAACAGCCCTTTTCCCCAGGTAGGGCTTGGCTGTTGATGGTAGAGGGTTTACCACTTCCATAAAGGAAAACACTAGTGGGGAGTAAGATATTATCTTTGGATAATCCTTCTCCTGACGAGAGAGTTGCGTGGCTAATGGAATGTTCTGTTAGGATACTAACTAATGTTAGGATACTAATGGAACTGTTCTGTTCTGATAGGACCCCAGAATATTTTGGCTGGTGACGGGGATTATGTTTCTGGGAAGTGGACTGATATGGCGACGTTTACTTTCCTTCCTTGGGCGGCATCTAGAACCTCCACTACCTCCTCACGTACGTATGGCTGATGAGGGAGGGTTTCTGCTCCAGGCTCTGCCATGTACAGTATTTCTAAAGCAGGAAATGAGCCATTGTAGACAGGTGGGCCACAGAGCATGGGGGAATTCAGCTCAGTGTCTGTTCCTTAACAAAAGAGAAGGTTTTCCTGAGCTGGACTGAATGACGTGGGAAGCTCCAGCACTGGTACACTTGAGCAGTAAGATACTGCTTATTTTTTGCGAAAAGTGAAGCTGTGGGCTGTTCCTTGAGACATGCTCTATTTACTTTCACCTGACAGCAGAAGGGGAGCTGAGGCTAATGGTAGAAGCAGCCCTAATTTGCCTTCTCAGCTGCTGCAGCAGTCTGTTCATAGTGAAGGACATGACAGCTGCTGCCCTCCTCCTCCCACCCACATACTAACTCTAGATCTGTAGTCCCTGTCTTGTAAAAGAGAAGGTAAAGATAAAAGGACGATGATTATCTGTAACATCTCTCTGGAGAATGCTGGCACAGTTGTGATGTCCCGACTCCCAATCCCAAATTTGTAATAGCTCCTCATGTGCACAGTGGCTGGCGCTGCCGTTGATGCCGATGGCATCGCAGAGCCCTGTTGTACCAAGCCGTAGGAGGATTTCCAAGGAGACTGTCTTCAGATTAGCATGATTCTGTAAGGGTCATTTTCCCTGTTGCCCACCTGCCAAAGCTTGGGGTACTGTATTGTCTACTTTTATTCTGTGCTCTAATATTTATAATGGGGCGTATCAGTGGATTCAAAAGTTAAGTTGTTACAAGTGAGGAAAAAAGGGGAAACCCAGATAAAACTCCCCTTCTCTCCTCTCCCATGCCATTAAGAGGCAGATGGAAGTAGTTCATTGTGGATTGTTGACTGTGGCTATAACTAACTAGATTATCCTCAAGTGTTGCTCAAAACCAACTCCAGCAGGTACTGACTCTGGTTGGAGAAATTTACTGAAAGGGATTAAGGAGGCAAAAGCCAGAGAGAGTGTTGTAAAAATAAGAGGAGAAAAATCAGGATTCAGGCCTCTCTGAAGCATATAGAGCAGCTTCTCATGTAATCACAGGTTATTTTGTATTTTACCTAGGTTCCTGCAGTTTTGAAAAAATCCCAACCAGCAGCTGGAAGAGTGGAGATAAAGAACAACCTTAAAGCAGAAACATTTGGGCTGAGCAGAAGCACATTAACAAATCAATAGGAACAGCAGGAATGAAGAGACTTCTATTGTTACAGGGTGGACTTTGGACACTTACCTTGCATTTTTCCTTCCTTACTGAAAACTGCAAGAATTTCTACAGTTGCTAATTTAATATATATTTTGTGCCAAAAATCTGTGATGAGATTTTAATTCTTATACACAAAAAGAGAGAAACACAAGGGAAAACCGCTTTCCACAGTAGTCTCACCTCCAACCCACATATGTTCCTTTAGTTTTCTGTATCGTGTACACATACTTAGGTTTTGGGCACTCATTGCAAGTGTTTCTGTCAAATACTTCACATAATGGCTTTTCTTAAAGAGAACAGTATTTTCACCTTAAAGGATAACAGCAGTCAGCATTAATCAGTAATTTTGGTTCTGAGCTGCAGATTTAGGAATCTGACTTCAAACGCCAAAGAAAAATCCACCTCAAAAGTGGCCCTTCAAATGGATATTTTAAGGCCCTATTTAATTGCAGAGAGAAGATTTTCCAAAGCAAAAAGCACACCTGCATCTCCTGCGAAGCACCACCTCTAAATTGACAGTAACCAGAAACGATACTTTCCCTTATTCTAAGTGATCAGTAACAGGCTCTGAAATTATCTTGGTAATCCTTACAATTTTAGGCCCAAAACGTATGCAGTTTCAGTAACAGAAGCGGGTCTATTGATAACGCACGCTTGTGGTTGCCATCCGCCACCATTTCAACATGCAGTGATACAACTCCTCATGTTGTCATAAGGACTGATTCCAGTGCTGGTAAAAATCAAGAGCCCAGTTGTTGGTTTCTCATAAGTTGGGCTCTGCTTTCTCTCTTTTCTTTCCAAGAATACAAGACAAAGCATGGACTAGCCTGCGCCACAGTAAGTAGCCAGGTTAGTGAAGGGTGTGGAAACCTGGTGTCCTGTGATGGACTGAAGGAAGGAATAAAATTCTGATGCCCACTGTGTTTTTTTCTAAGGACTTGTCTCTGAATTCTGAGCACATGGTTCTCCCCTGGTTTCTCTCAGTCAGTAGAGGGAGCATGAAATCCTTCTAAATCAGGTCACTAACTGTCTATTTGTTGTTTGGGGTTTTTAACCTTTTTGTAACATACAGTGAGTAGCTTCTTTAGCTGCCACCAGGTAAATCACTGTATTGTCAGGGGTTGAAAAGACTAGCTGTGAACATTTTTACTCAGGACTAATGAGTCAAAAATGGAAGTAAAGAGGTACATAGATTTAAAATTATGCAGGCCTGTGATACCAGTTTGGTTAAAATTGGTTGTACATAATTGTTTTCAAACAGTTCTTGCTCTGTATATGACTGACTACAGATATAAAAGGCATGAGAAGGTGAAAAAATTAATGGGGCTTGTAATGTTGCTGAGGTTTTTAGCTGAATTTTTTTTTGCAACCTTTCTGTTTAACAGGTAGACGTGTAAAAAACCTCTATACTGAGCAGTCCAGCAGAAAAAGCAATGGCTCGCATACCTTGGCCAGTAAAACCCAGGAAAACCCCGTGCATGAAGGGATAGCGATGATGATGTTTTCAGTAAAGTGAGTTGCATTAGGCCAGGACTCAAATGTGTTGGTGCAGCTGTTTGGAAGCTTTCACGTAAGCTTTGCAAGCTCAGTCTTTTGTGCAGAGAGGCTTATGTACATTTTCCTGTACATAACTGACTTAAAGCACAATAAAAGCACTGAAAGACACATCTTTTACCAGACTGCCTTTCTTTCAACAGACATATGCAAATGTTTAATGGTTTTCTTGCAATTCAAGTAATCAAAATGCATTCATATGCAATAAAATCACTCTGAGATCATACATAGCAAAAACCAAAGCCAGTGGAGGTTGTATGTTCAGAATGGATTGCTACAGAACATACTGGTTTTATCAATTTTCATTTAACAAGGAAAACTTTGTTCTGCCCTTATAAATACACTGCTCCCTTCGCCTCAAACCACAACTCACAGACTTAAGGTAACTACTGTGCTCCCAGTTCTATTGAGTTACTTCTTTCATAACGTTTAGATTTTAAACTTTTTCTTTTAAAAAGTATTCTGCTATTTGGGCAAGTAAAGCCCACAAAATAGATGTCAAAATGCATTATACATAAAGCCAATACTCACCCTGCCTTTTTTCCTGAAAACAACCTCTATGAGAGACAGTTCCTACAGAAGGTAACTTGAGGTGCATCAGCCTGAGTATGACTTCTAGAATTCTGTGCTATTCCACTAGCTTGTCTTACTTAAAATGAAAACAATGCTTTATGTTTGTGAAGAAGGCAAGAGAGAGAAAATACATACACGTATATGTCTACGGACTGGTGTTGGTAATAATAGCACCACATCTTATTGCTCAAGTTGTTTAATAGATAATTGATGCTCACTGTTAAACCTGCATCATACAAAATTAGTATTAAGTAGTTGAAGACAATACTGTTAACAATAAAAGCTGTTAACAATTCTAAGTTACCATGGTCATGGAATTCTACATGAAAATACAAAGAAAGGGTGTCAGCGTAGTCTCAGCCATGAGTTCGAAAGCAGAAGCATTTCCTAAAACTTAATGTCTTGCACTTTTCTCCCTTGGGAGATCCCAGCTGTTCTACACCCAGAACGCCGGCCCCAAGACTTGCTAGAGAGAGGCAGTCCTTTTCATTGGCACCCACCTTTCTGTCTGGCTTGGAGCTGCCCTTTCATGCTTATTTTGACAGCAATTTTTGATATCTTAGAATACCTATCTGTATCACAGTATAGAAGGAGTTGTAAAACACGTACTATTCTTTCCTGGTTTTGTTAAGAAAATACTCCAATCTGACTAGTAAAGAAGGTGACTACTAAACATTACTTATACAGCCAAATATTACCAAAATCTAGCCTTCTGCTCATTTCAGCCTCTGAAAGGTTTTCAGACCAGCTTGCTTGTTTTAGGTTAAGTGATGCTGCTGCTCACGGCAGAATTAATTTGTGCTTTTACATGACTGACACAGCTGTGGCAAGTCAAACCACCATGAATGCTTATATTCCCCTTAACTTAAAAGCAGTGACCCTACCTAGCTGTCTGAGACATCAATCTACCAGAAGTTTGCTGTCATGTGGTCTATTGGTTTGCATGGGCTAAGGAAAGTATCACAGATACTACAGAGATTCTTTGCTAACAGACCAGCTGTGCTGTGCCCTGGTCCTAAAGGCTACCATGAACTTTTTAGAGTGAGTAGACAAAAAGCCTTCCACCAAGTCGAGCTTTTGCCGAGCTTCTCTCTGCTGCCACTACAACTTCTTTCTGTAGAGATACAGAACAAAAGTTAGCAAAACGCAGCTGTAGGTGCACGATTGCTTTAAGCTTCTCTAATGGAAACCAGATTTTGTCCGTATCATTACTGTCATAGAAATGTGAGGAGAAATAAGTGCAACCCACCTCATCAGAATAGTAGTTAAACAAAACAGTTTGGCAAACAGACTATTTCATTTGGGAAACGAAGAAGCTGGAACCAGTCAAATAAATTTCTTGCCAGTATAAACTGTTTCTCAGGGCTAAGATCAATACAGATGAGGCTGGAGTGTGGACTGGACTGGTGCCACAGCAAAGGAACACAGCTACATGGAGAACAGCCTCACCTGCATGGATGCATAAGCCATCAGCGATGCCCGTGTTTCAGGTGTGGATTATGCACCCTAACCTAGTTTAGAAGCATTTACATTTCCAGGTGTTTCTTCATTGCATGTTTTAACAGCAAGAAATCAAACATCATTTATTGCAGAACAATCACACACCTCCTCAGCCTAGTACTGAGGCTTTCTCAGTACTCGGGCAGAGAACCTCAGTTCTCATGCAGGTTATGTCAGAGTAAAGTGTTGGACTCCACTCGCTGAGCAAGCACTAAGCAACCTTCAAGCTGAAAACAAGGGTCCTCAGTGGACTGACACATACAAACACAGGTTCTGACTTTTGGTAAAAATAACAAGCATCTGAGAGAAACACAGAGAAACAGGCATACAAACATCCAAAATCATTCATGTAAGAACTGGGCCTCTCTATGCTTGGAAATACTTGACATACGAACAGTGTTCGCTGAAAGCGATTGCTAGGACAGCAAGCCTGTAAACATTAAATGAGAGGGGTGGTTTGGTAGCTGAGCATCCACTTTGTATACAGGTTGGCATGAACAGTACAGCCAGTTGGCACCTACACTTGATTTACCATGCAACTCTTCAGCAAACTCCTAAGTAGTTTAGATTTCAGGCTGGTTTAAAGTGATCTCTTTCAAGTCAGGTGTCAGGTGCCAAAATTTTGGCAATTCCATAACTGATCCATCTATATAATGGCTTATCAGTTCAGAGTGATTTAAATGAAAACTTAAATATGCAAAGCACTTAAGACTTCTGCAGATGAGTAGGATACCTAGGTGAGCTGTTGGCTAGTATATGCAGATGAGGTAGAAAGATGCTATGAAGCAACCAACAACAATAATTTTTCTCACCTTTCTTTCAGACTTCACAGTGATAACAGCACTCCCAAATCTTGATAGTTCCTGTAAAATAATATTGCTTGTTACCATGCTGTTAGTTTTTTTAAAGTGGGACTGTTTAGTTTCTCTTATTAATTTGTTTTCTGGTTACTTACCTCAGGAGAAATCAAGACATACTGTGCCTGAAGAAGAAAAAAGAATATAAGTCAGTGGAGAGAACCACAATGGGAGAATGGACCAGTGCAATAACCCTGGCTCCTGAACAGCAAAGTAATGCAAGAACGAACAGGGGGATCCAAATCACACGGATTCAGAAACATAAGTAACTTCCTGTTTTCTGAAACCAAGTCAGAACGCACTAGGTATCGGTACTGGACGTAATTAATTAGCTGTCATTATGACATCGCATTCTGAATTCACTTTTATGTTTTCTTACCCAGTTCTCAGGACAGGGAGATATCCACGATTTGCAGTGGCCCGTCACATTCCCTGAGGATGCCTGCTTTCCATTGTAAATGTAAACACGGCCAGCTGCCCCACCAAACAGTATTGTGGTGATATCGTTAGTTCGAAGTGGGGATGTCACAATCATTTCATCTGCAAACATTACAAGGATGACATAACACATCAGAAGTGAAATAATGCTAAACCAAAACACCAGAGAGTTTACATTGGCATACCTCGAGATGCCACAAATCCTATTAATGATGACAGTTAAAATGTTTCAATTTCTGACAATTTAATTTCACTTAAAATTAATTTCAGTTAATTTAATTTCAGTTAAAATGTTTCAGTTTCTGACTGAGTTGGTTGGGATTGTGCCTCCCCACAAGGCAGGATGGAATATTGGTACAAGTCAACTGAGGAAGCAGACTGTGTTTAACACTTGTATAAATATGTAGTTAATGAGTCTTCCTGTTGCCAAAGTAAAACATTTCAGTTTTACTCTGATCTACATTCATCAAGCTTTACCTAGTCCATCATTATCCAGGTCACTTAAGCACACATCTTGTCCAAAGCGAGAAAACCTCCTGTCCCCACTGAACGTGCTGAGCAAAGAAGGCTTGGTGCTGTCTGTCAGGTCATATACCAGAGCTAGCCCAGCTTGGTGCAGCACTGAGGATATAAATGAAATCCTAGACAGGCTATCTGGAGAAAAGAGACATAACAGAAGTTGAGCATCAGACAGGAACACAGGTTTAATACCTGCAATACACTGACAGCAGCTAATACTGGCACTACGTAACATGGACAAAATAAACAATTTATAAAACGAGATCAAATGTTATACAGCATTAACACTAATTAGCACAGAAACAATCTCTTAGCAATAGTACCAGGGGAAAAAATGTAAGAGTTCTACACTTTGACTTTCCTAATTCCTTACTGCCTACTGCCAGACTAAGGACAAAATAGTGTGTTGTTTTAATTCCAAGAAATATGCAGTCTACTAGCAAATCACTGCTACATAAATAATGCAAGGTAGTAATGCTGCTAAGCTAATTTTAAGGAAGGAAAAAAAAACCATTGAGTTGAGGCACAGTAGAGGGGAATCTGTATATACAGTACTTAAAGGTAATTACAACATTTTTTTTTTTTTTTTTAATTACATGGCAATTTAAAGGTCTGTTTTGTAACTTTTAACTTCATATCTGTCCTCTGGTCATACAGAAATAAACATCCCAAAGCAGAAACAGTTTCCAGTTTTCAGGACATACCTGCAGTAGGTGCACCCACCACCAAAACCATCCTTGTGGTCCCAGCCACAGACATCACACCACTGGCCAGAGACAAACCCATTCTGCCCATTGCCTGTTAGATTTTGAAAACACCTATGTCATTTCTACAGAATGTCACTTTACCTCGAATTATTCATAAGGTCCTGTACCATAGAAGGAGCCCTACCTTGTCTCCAGTTACTGCAAACCAGCGCTTTGTGCTTGGTGGGTTATACCCATACACCTTCCCAACACTCTCATGTCTGACATCCAATGAGAAGGGATTGCAGCTTGAATTACAATGCAAAATATATTTGTATGTAACAACATATTTTTGTACATTCAGCTAGGATTGCTCCCCTTAAAGTATTTCCCCCTTTTAGTTTGGAATAGTAATGGCTGCCAAATTCTAGAAATCTGTTTTAGTAATTCCCATGCTTGTTCTAACTAGTTAAACAACATTTAGAGCACAGACTTGGTCTATCCACTTCTTTATCACCCAATACATTTTTGTGTTTAG